AAACTCACCACTTGCATACATGTCAACCCCTTCGGTTGTTTACCTGTATTATGAGCCTCAAAAATGCATAATTTTAGCAAAAAATAAAATAAAATAAAAAATAAATCCGTATTAATCACGCGCAGGGGGATGGGGGGCAGGTACAGACGGACTGTTGGCTACAGAAATTTCAGCACCTGAGGCAGGGCAGAGCAGAAAGAAATGAGGAGGGGAAAACTATTTATAGTGGCAGTGCAGGTTGGAAGATGGTTATCTGATGCTATTTCTTGTTGTTTTTTTTTTAAAGTCCTACAGGCGCTGAAATGTTTGAAACATTTTATTTAAATCCGTAAAACTTAAAATAAATCTTGGAAATTGGTCTTTTAACACCAAGATAACTGCAAAATGAGGACAAAATTACAGACAGTCTGTACAACTTGACATGCTTCACTTGAGGAACACAGTGGGACAGGAGAGACTGAGAGGACTTACTGTATGTTGTCCATAGAGAATAAGACCAAAGAAAATACAGAGCATCACGGACGAGTTCTCGGAACGCAAGGCTCTTGTCTGTTTTTCAATAGTGGTGAGTAGCTACTTGTTTTTGAAATTGTGTTTGTGAACATGTGGGCCACTGTGCCAGTTTTACTGAACTTTAGCTACTGATAGGGTATGGTTCTGAGTTGAAATAAAGCGGTTGTCAAAATGACCTGACCACTATCCGTGGTGCTGAACTGTTTTGAATTTGTGTTGTTTTGTAGCTGAACGTTTTAATTGTTCATGTCTGTTTGATGGACTTCAAAATAACATAGTCACTCTGTGGTTCTGAAGCTTGTAAGCCCTGCTGTTGCAGGCAGGTGTATGTTGTAGCTAAAATGATGTTATCAGGAGCTTTATTATTTGGTATAAAGGGCCCGGTCAATTGTCCCACCCCTGGCGGATTTGATCCGCTAGTGAGGGTGCCCAAACAATTTCCCCTTGCGGGCCAAAATGAAAATCTATCTGGAGCTGTGGGCCAAATGCAGTAATATATAACAGGAAATACACATACTTTTTAAGTAAAATCCTTTATTTTTAATGATTAATCTTGCAGCCAGTGTGGTGGCCCACTGTGGTTTTAGTGAAGTCTGCCATATGCTCAAGCAGCAAAGACTCATGAGACATTTCATAAATTGATAAAATATGAGTTTTTGTGGCCTTATAAAGTGTGCAAATCTTAAATCTAATCTAAATATCACATTACTTGTATTTCACGTTTCATGTTTAATATTAATATATCAAATATAAAGTCAGCACCATCAGTGAAAACTATCGGCACTACAGCCCCTTAAATATTCATTTGACCAATGAATAAAATGACTTTAAGTGGAAATACTGTGTTTCTACATAATATGACAGGTTACAATCTTGTAACCATGGCAACTGCTGGTTAGCCAAATCAAATTGCAGGCCCCACTTTGGGCTCCTCTGATTTAACTCAAAACATTCTCATTCAAACCCTCCTCCCTTTCCGGCATACCCCAAGGCTCTGTTCTTGGCCCCTCCAATGTATCGTCTACTTCAGTGCAACTAGCAGCCTGCGGGCCAGACTTCCATCTGGCTGAGTTGTTGGTGTCCATTTATTATTATTTTCTGAGAGTTCTATTAAAATATATCCAGTGCTTCTTAAACAGATTTTTGTAAGAGACAGAAAGATATACAGATTGTCGAGAATGTGTTTTGTCTGTTGTTTTGTTCATGYCGCCCTCGTGTGTCTCCTCAGTGTCATTWCCACTCATCCTGCCTCAGTCTGTTATCTAGGTCATTGTAATTATTCTCACCTGTCACTTGTTTGTAATCAGTTCCCTCTCCAGCTGTCACTCGTTTCTCATTTCCTCTGTTAGTATATATTCTGGTTCAGTTCTTCATCTYATCGCTGGTTCATTGTTTGGTTTCTTCACCTACTGTTTGATGTTCTTCGTGGTCTCCGTGAGTTTATTTATGTTTGCTGCCTCGACAGCTTTTGATTTAATTTTGTTTAATAAATCTTTTACTTCTAACAACTTAACTCTCCGCCTTGGTACTGGGTTCGCTCCTCCACCACACATCATTACAGAATGAACCTGCCAGCCTTCGAACCCTCCAGGAGATTAAGTTTGTTGGAACTCATTCAAAAGGAGAACCTCTTAGCTCCTCTTAGTGAGTGGGGTAAGGGACCAGATCAGAGACGGACCGGGACTCACCAGAGCAAGCAGCCGCGGCGGAGCAAGCAGCCGCAGGCTGAAATCCGGGTGGGTGGTTTCCGGACCGATCCTATTCAGCCTGCTGGGACATGGGAGCACCAGAGTCCAGAGGTCAAGGTCCTTCCGTCCCCTCTCCTTGTGGAGGAAGAGGAGAGATCCAGGATGCAGTTTTGGGGACTCGCCTGGCCATAAGACCCTCTCAGCCATCTGGTTCTTCTCGGAGCCACCGTCGCCGGCGGAGGAAGGCGGCGGTTCCTCCGGAGCCATCTGAGGTTTTCTGCTCCGAGCCCCAGGACAGCGAACTCGAGTTCAACCCGGACTATGACCCCGAGCTGGACCCATTATTCCCCGAGTACTTCGGGTACTGCTCGGTCAAGTCGATGGATCCGGTCCCAGTTCCGCTTCAGCCTCGCCCGCCAGCATCTCCCCCGAGAGGGTCCCGGACACCGCCTCCACCTGTGCCACGTCTGAGGAAGTCCCGGATGCCTCTCAAATCTGTGCATCCTTCGGGAGGATCCAGTACCACTTGCGTCCCTACGAGGCGGGACGCTTTCACTTCCATTTCGGCGCCAGAAAGGCGAGACGCCTTAACTGCCTCTCAACTTCAGGAGTTGATGTGGCTACAACCACCTGCGCTCCTGCGAGGCTGAATGCGTCCACCTCCACCTCTGCTCCAGCTGGACTCAATGCAGCTACTTCCATGTGTGTTCCCCAGACGATCAACGCCTCAACTGCCCCCTGCGTTCTACTGAGGGTCGATGCGTCCACCTCCTGTGGGGAGGGTCTTAGGGGGGAGGAAGTGTCTGTGACCACCCTGGCAGCTCTGACGGTGTGCATGACAGCAGCTCTGGTGGAGCTGTTTTTCCCGCCTGTCACGGCTCCTGTGATGGAGTCCATGGAGCCAGAGTCAGAGCTAGCAGCTGCAGTCCCTGCCGGGCTCACGCTGCCTGCTGCAGTCGAACATTCTGCTGGTCCTCCAGAGCCGGCCCCTGCAAAGTCTCCTCCAGATCCGGCCCCTGCAGAGTCTCCTCCAGAGCCGGCCCCTGGAGAGTCTCCTCCAGAGCCGGCCCCTGCAGAGTCTCCTCCAGAGCCGGCCCCTGCAGAGTCTCCTCCGTTGCAGGCCTCTCCTGAGTCTCCTCCGTTGCAGGCCTCTCCTGAGTCTCCTCTGTTGCCGGCCTCTCCTGAGTCTCCTCCGTTGCCGGCCTCCCCTGAGTCTCCTCTGTTGCCGGTCCCTCCTGAGTCTCACCCTGAGCTCCACCTCTGACGCGGTCGGGTCCACGGCCGTCCTCCAGAGTTCCACCTTCGACGCGGTCGAGTTCACGGCCGCCCTCCAGAGCTCCGCCTTCGATGCAGCCGAGTACACGGCCGCCCTCCAGAGCTCTGCCTTCGACACGGCCGAGTCCATGGCCGCCCTCCAGAGCTCCGCCTTCGCCGCGGCCGAGTCCACGGCCGCCCTCCAGAGCTCCGCCTTCGCTGCGGTCGAGTCCACGGCCGCCCGCCAGAGCTTCGCCTTCGCCGCGGCCGAGTCCACGGCCGCCCTCCAGAG